GAACATCTTGGGCCAGATGTGCTGACTCTGGCCTTAGACATCCCTATTATTTTGTCTCTATGCTCGGAGAAAGGAAAAAAGTATGGTGTGGGTTAAGGTTCATGCTGACCTCTAAGGCCCAAGGAAGGGCGGATACAGTTCCTGGTGTCTGTTATCTCCACCTGTTCCCAGGCCTTCCCTGAGTTCCAACTCATTTCTGTTTATACTTACGGGAAACGGAGGCAGATAGGATCTGACATCACCCCCAAGGAGTCAAGCAACTTAAATGATAGCTGGATAGGAGAAGGGTGGTTGGTAATGGCCTCTGAGACCAGTAGCGCTTAAAGTCACCAGTTAACCCTTTAAAAACCATGACTTCACCTTTACTCCCTATCCTGGCTAGGAAAGTCTTGAGAAAGGATTCTTTTACTCATAGAGCCAACTGTGCCCCATGACAGATGCTCTGGTCGTGGGATGAGGCCTTTCATGGGCTAAAGTTGCCAGTGGCTGCATTCACCCTGTCCCAAATGGGTCACTTTGGGCCAGCTGTGGCACATTCCTGTAGCTCAGTATCCCTCTTGGGAAAAGTGGGATGGTTTTGTGAGAATCAAATTGAGTTGGAGCATGACAGGTCCTTGGTAGAACTTAGGGTAGTTTGTACTGAGGATTACTCATCCATATTTGGGTTGAGAACAGTGGTGGGGCGGGGTGGGGGGGACCCCTTTCCAGCTGGAGTCCGGGAGGAGAGAGCAGGTGCAGATTACCCACAACTGCAGCGTCAGCAAGAGGAGAAGTTTCGGTTTCTATCAAAACAAGTTCTCTGAATTTCCCTACCTCTAGATCCACCGGCCCTCCTTTCCCCCTGTCTTGGGTCCACACACAGGGAAGTCCAACCTTCTGAGAGGAGGAGGGCTTTCTGGACGAAAGCAAATCCTTACTGAGTACTTACTTTGTTCTTTGCCCGAGGCTGGGTGCTTTCCCTGCCTTACATACAGCATTGAATAAAACGGCATCTCATCGCCTTTATTGGGGAGGTATTGTTGCTATTTCCTTGGTGCGCACACACCCATTAATGATCCCCAAATTAAAGTATATCCTATTAGCTTGGTGCCCCCCCCCCCGAAAAAAAGCTGTAATTAAATACATATGCACTGTACTACTAATCAGTGGCATCTGAGAATTGAGAGGTGATATTTTACAGAGGGGTAGGGAAGTGTCATAGCTCGCCCACACTTGGGGGCCACTGTTTGAGAAAACCTGTATTAGTAATCTTAATATCAGATTGCTAACGTTTCAAGCTAAGGGCGCATAGGGCTTGTGGGCCTTTGGATTCAGTAAAGGTTTGTCCTGAGGATGGGCAGCAAGAGGAGGGACGGCTGGGGCCCAGCCTTTGGGCCTTTCTTTCTTTTTTTTTTTTCTCTCAATTTTCCTACTTTTATTATTTTTTATTTCTTAAACATTTTATTAGGGGCTCATACAACTGTTATCACAATCCATACACACATCAATTGTGTAAAGCACATTTGTACATCATTCTCAAAACATTTTCTCTCCACTTAAACCCCC